TGAAGGACTAATTATACTTTAAAATGAGTTTAAGAGCAAGTTTGTATAGTTGATCAGTTTCATGCAGCAATTTTTTTTTAAATTAAAGTTTTTTTGGGATTTTCGTATACTTCATGTCTCATAAGTTATTATATAATGCAAATACGGTATTAGACTTTCAAGTCAAATTGATTCAGTAATAAAATGGCAACGTCTAAATTGGTAGCAAATTTATGATGCACTGTTTGAAACCTTTGGTGTAGTAATGAATATTACTGGAGTTTTTTCTCAACACCAAATCGTTATTTTTAACACGTGTTTCGATCACCAAGTGATCATCAAAGAGGAAGATTTTAATCTTCCTCTTTGAAGATGATCATCAAAGAGGTGTTAAAAATAACGATTTAGTGATGGGAAAAAAAACTCCAGTAATCTTCAATATTAGTAGCAAATTGCCAAAAACGACTGTCCTCAATAGGAAGACTTAACGAATTGATCTGGATTCCTGGCCATACTGGCCTGGAAGGCAATGAGGCTGCTGATTCCCTTGCAAAGGAGGGTGCTGCAAGCAGCTTCATAGGACCAGAACCTGTCATTGGCATCGCTTTTGGCTTTGTCAAGCAAACATTGAAAACCTGGATGGCAAGAAGATTTATCGATTTCTTGCAGAATCTTTCAGGATTGGCTCACTCCAAAGCGTTCATTCACCCTTCGAAGCTTGAAACCAAACAGTTGTTGGACTACAGTAGGAGTGAAGTACGATGTCAACAGGCCTTCTCACAGGTCACTGTCGTCTGAATCATCATATGCAGAGACTCGGAATGTCGGAAGACAGTGTGTGTCGCCTCTGTTTGGAAAATGATGAAACAGCAGAGCACATACTTTGTGCCTACCCCGCTGCGGACCGAATCAGGTTTTCAGAGATTGGCAGAGCCGCACTCTTATCATCTGACCTGAAAGATAACTCACCATATAAACTAATCGGCTTCGTTAAGAAGCTGGGTTTATTTGGTCGGGTGTGAATAGGTGTGAGCCACAATAAACCCTTGCGGGTTGCGGCGGAGTATCGAATAGACCCACTCACTTCTGACCTAACCTAAGCGGTATAAAATATCTACTTATCTCTTAATCGTATTCAAATCTCTATAAGAGATATAGATATGATAAAAATTATTTTGGAGATATTTCATTACTGACCAAAGTTGTACTGAAGATCCGTAACCCTATTTGCAATATTTAACAAGTTATAAGTCAAAAAATACGAAAATGTCGAAAAAGTCCTTAGATTTTTATAAACAAATTGTTATCAAAGCCGATCAAAAACAGCTACAAACTTGATCTTCAATTGATTTTTTATAAAAACCACCTGAATGTCATCATCTCTAACAGTGAGTATAAAAGTTAAATCAGTTAAAAGTGTTATGAAAAAATTAAAAAAAAATTTTATTATTTTTTGTTACATATAGTTCAAGAAACAAATAAATTATCAATTAAAAACAATAGGTTTAACAAATTGAAGGACCGCAAAATTGATTCCTTGACTTCTTTATTTCACAGGGGTTTCCTGGTGAAAAGCGATGGACCATTTCGAATTGCCCGTATCGCTTTCGTTCTGAAAACGATTACCGCGACAAAACAATGGTTCAAAAAACACACTTCCTAGAAGGTAGAACGTGACTGAATTATCCTGGGAGAGCATACAGACATCCTGTTCCTGATTTTAATTCAATATGTAGGGTGAAATTCTTATTAAGGCGTTGGCAATACATACAGAAAGAGTTGAGTTTTTTTTGGTGTTGTAGAAATCATAGATGTCATCTTATAGTAGCTCCAGAAGCTACTAACAGCGCACCGGTATCAATAACCGATAACAACTTTCCCATCAAGAAGTTGATCATTGGACCTGAGAAACGTGTGCTGGTATAATCTTGAAGTTCGAAAGTGGGGAGGGCATCTGTGCACCTAGAAGTCCAATAATCGGAAGAAATATTTCAACAGAATGGTTTGGTAATTTTGGGATTTCAAAGAGAGAATCCCAATATTTCGTCCGTTATTTCCAATCTTTGTAGAAAATAGTGTCTCTCTCAGAACTGAAAACTCTATGGCAAATAAATATCGTCGTACTTTGATGATCGAGAAAGACTATATTAAGACTTACTAGTGAGAAATGAATAGTTCCAATAGATTCGGCACTTCTCATTCCCCACAACGGACTCAATATCTCACAGAATACCTTACAGAAGATACACTCATTTGATGTAGGTCAAGTTTGTGTGACCTATATTCTGTGTTAGACTCGGTGTAAGAGGTGTTTTATGATTCTCAAAATAAAATATATTCTAGCACAAATGCAAATGAACATTTGTGTTTCTGCAATAATCCTAACTACCCGCCTTCTCGATCCTTAAAGGTAGACCGGTAGGCCCGATACCGGTGGCCAATACCGCGTCCGGCCCTGCACACAATGCGCCCAATTCGAAAATTATCTGCAAGGTCAACAATACAGCTTGTTGATACCAACAGACCTTTGTTCAATACAATGCAAAAATTTCTCGACTAGGAAGTGTTATGAAACGTAAATTTCCAGCAATTTTAAGTGGCAAGAGGTCAACTTGAAGACAGTGGTGTGCATTTACAGTATACATGACAAACTCAAAATAAAAACAGTGAATTCGATATCATAGCAGTTCACTTTTCATACAATTTATTGTTTTTTATAAATTGTTTTCAAAAACAACCGATAGTTTTTTCTTGCAAAAGCCTATAATTTGTTTACAAATCGTGACTTTAACATAAATATATTGCTACATGTGGAACAAGGCTATTCAAAATCATATACAGGGTGTTCAAGTACATTTACTTGCGTTTCACTATTTATTTTTGGTTTGTTTTTGTTAGGCTTTTGGATTTTTAAGTTGATTCATGAGAAATGTTAACAATAAAATGAGTAAGTTTTTTGGTAGGATTGTCAGAATGAGTAATAATTAGAAGATTCAGATGGCATCAGAGTAGAATTTATTTTCATAAAATTAGTTCCTGAACACGCCCTTACATTTTTTTCACCACAATTAAAAACACACTAGATGTCAAATTGGATATTGCCAATATATTTTGGCACAAACATAGTAAAGTCAGCTTTTCAGCGACTTGTAAAACTGTTTCAAACTAGAAAGTTGTACACACAATGCTTCATAAATTATCTGCCTGATTGGAGACCTATGACATTACAACGAACTTTGATAGCCATCAAAAGAAGTATCTATAGATACATTCACGGAAAGAGTTATACTTCCTTAGCCCCTTCGTTTTCTCCCATAGCCATTTATGTCAGAAGTATGCAGGAACCTATGAGTTTGAAAATGTGTTTCATCGCCGACTTCACTGTTACAATTTTTCAGTTTTTCCACAATCTTCACTTTCCCTAGAATCTTGTATGAATAGAGGAGAGTACAGTTTATTTGAATTTGAATCACTTCGCACAGATAAGAGCCGGTTTTCCAGACTACATACAAATCAATATTACTTTCATGTAATCCCAGTATATCCACTATACAACAAAAGTGACTTAAATAATCAGTTGAAATCAGAATTTGTATGAATTTCATCTAGTCACTATTTTTTTTTAATCGAATTTTTTTCCAATCGATTTCCTGAAAACTAAAAAAATGGTTTCAAATTTAAAAATTTTTGCATTTTTTTCACAGTGTGAGTACAATTTCACTAACCTTACATTCATCTTCAGTTACAGGGTTGAAAAAAAATAGTGAAATATAAAAANACTACATTCAACATACAGCAACCTTTTCATTGTTTTTTTATCAGCTTTATTTCATTTCAATATTTTTGCAATATTTGAAATGGTCGGGTAAAAATTTTCAGCTCTGTACGGTAACAACTAATTTTGCTCGAATAGAGACCCATGCCTCAAAATATCAAAACAATACTTCAATTTGATTAATTATTAGTGATGGAACTAATAAAATAACCCTTCAACAGTAATGAATATCAGAGGAATAAACTAAAGGATTAAAAATTCTACCATACTGTTATATGTAGAGCTGGCCTCATCTGTTCATGAATGATAACAAAATTTTTGATTTTGTGCCCCAAAAATACTTGTATGAACAAATTAAATACTATTTCAGCACAAAACTGGAATTTTGTAATATTAATTGAGTCACTTTATCATTTTTCTATGGTATATAGCATTTTTTTAATATATTCGTGTCTCCAACCGAAGAAGTTAACTTTAACTTGTCAACCGTAGTTGTCCTACCTGAATGTCGAGTAATGAAAATATTGGCCACTTGCCAATAAAAGCAATTTAAATTTTCTCTTGCAAAGAAATGTATAATAAGCAAATTTCATTTCAAATGCTTCAATCGTTTTCATAAGTTCAACGTTCTAAAAAACATTGAGTACTTTCACAAAGTGAAGTACACTTTCAGTGCATTGGAAAAAGTAATAAACGGATTTTAGCCCGATTTTCTCCCTTACTGCAAATAGGTTTCTACTTGTTTTCAGAACATGTTAAGAAACATGACTTCCATCCTAAAATTCTGGAAAAGGTCAATTCTGGTGAGAGAAATTGTTATTTGGTAAGTAGTAATGTTGTTATGCTACGATACAACATGTATGAAGTGTAGTGTTTTCGCAACTTCGTTTTCGTGGTGGATTTTTTAAGTAAAGCATACGCAAAATGGTGTTTGAATATGTTTCTTTTTGCCATCCAATTAGTCTTCAAAAACAATGTTTCGAAAGTGAAAGTGAATTCAAACACATCCAGTTTACAAGAAAATATCCATAAATCGAAAATTGTCAATTTCATTGCAATTATATTTCAATTTTTGTAAGGAGACAAAAAACATTTATCAAGATATTCAACTGACTGACTTTCATTACCACGTTAAACATTTTTTTTGTTATTTAACCGCCAGATATTTCGCGAACATCATGTGAAAGTTGGGGCTAACGTTAGTCGAAGAAAGCTTCGAAAATTTTATTAACAAAACTATATTTACCTGTGACTTTGTCCCTGATCAACTTGCAACTTTCAACTTCACCAATACTGGAAAAGAGAGATCTGATTTCTTCTTGGGTCATGGTTTGAGGTAAATAGTTGACAATGAGGTTAGTTTTCGACTCTTCTTGACCCCCGCCGACATTGTTACCGCTACTACCGTTCTGTTGCCCCACGACTCCAGAATCTAAACCATTGGACATCATGGTTGGTTTTTCGTCACTCAAATTATAAGTCGAAATGGTGAATGTTTCAAATAACTCTTCTATCTTTGTAAAATAACTAATAGTGTACACTAAAATTATTTGGTGTTTCCTTTTTCTGCTTGGTAGAGATTGGTATTTATCGAAGTATTGATGTCGACTTTTCGTTTTTGGAGGGTAGTCGTCTACCCTTACCTACGATCTGTAACAAAAAATACAATTATGAGATCAAATCATAAAACTATGTTCAAAAACAAAAACTTTTGACGCCTAATAACTTTGAGAAAATGTGTTTGTTTAACAATACATTGTTATAAAATAGAATTTGAAGTTTCACGCGAAAATCAATTCAAGATGCATGTTAATTGCAATGTCAATACTTTTAGAACAGCCTGTAAGAAAAACAAACTCCGTTGCTATAGATTAAAATTAGTACAAGCTCAAACATTGTTCCTATAAATGAATGTAAGATTTTTTATTTTTACATTTCTAAAAATCTCCATTTGATTCTGCAATGTATAGTTTCACCTCGTTTCTCCAACAACTGATTTACCGTTTCATTTTGAGACAACCAAGAAACAGGAACTTACTTTGGACTAACTTCTCACTTTGTGAAAATTTGAATGCGTTCGGTAAATTGTTGTTCAACATGATCGGTCGGTCGGAAGCCGGGCGGTTCGACGTGGGTGCTTTGTTTACTCACTCAATCGGCCGAGTCGATGGTTTACGCCCCAGGATGAACGCTCTATTTTCACTTGCTATCCTCCCACTCGTGTGGGAGGAATCACACATAAAAAATAAGACCTCATTAGTCCTTAGCTCGCACAAGTTTCGATTTCTGAGGGTTGTCGTTCGTAGGGGTGCGATAGCTGATAAACGAAAAAAACATATTTTAAACATATTCAAACATATTTTAAACATGATGCATTTGACACTCCATCATTAGTCCATGTTTTTTTATAGATCAGATTCCTCACGAAAAAAAAAATTACCGTTTTATTTCGAGATAGTCGAATATATAAAAGAGACTGACGTTGGGTTATTTCTATACTTTAGGAAAACTTGAAAGGGTTCAGTAAAGTGTTGCTTCACTTAGCAATCGATACTCCATAGGATTTGAGAGAAATGAAACCTGTACTTATAAGATCTGTATGTAAGCCAATATATTTTTTGTTTAGTTTGCGTGATAATCCAAAACCACAGAGTCTACACCACTAGTTTAGCACAGCTAAAAGTTCGACAATTCATAGAATGCACAACAAAATCGAACTTTTTTTGTCGCATGAGATTTTTCACCTTTTGTTTACAAATTTAGGCTCACTCATTTTAAACATACTCTCAGATTTTTTCTCTAGTTTAGAAGATACAGGTACCCCCTTAAAGTGTACTCTCTATTTGACTGTTGATATCGCTATCGTCAACGCCGTACTAGTTTGTTTCTTTTTTGCAATGGCGTTGTCTAGAAGGACCTCGTGAAAAATGCCTACATGGAGTACTTTCAACGGCCATTGGAAACAAACAAGCCTTGGATATCGAATATAGTGTGTAAAACGTATGTGGAGTCTTTACGATTATGGAAAAATAATAAGAGGTTTCCCTTGAACCTCATTAATCCTATGATTTGGTGTGAACCGTCGAACCACCACGACGACTGTTATTTCTGCATCGTAAAAATAACAGGAATTAACCGCCAAAATCATTTCAAGTGAGTTTGTCCTACTGTGCCGTCAGTTACTAGACCTGTCCTGTGTTCAACTGATACATTAGAACCCCAACCAAGTACATCTCAGGTAAGTCCGCAAGAAATTGTTCAACGAATGGAGCTGTGAAGATAGTGGTAGTGAATTTGAAGACGCCGAAAGACCATTCAACCAAGAGGATCTAAATGATTTAATAAGAGATCAAATGACTTAATAAGAGATCTCGGATTGTCTAAAGCTTCGTCAGAACTTCTAGCTTCTCGATTGCAAAAAAGGAATTTGGTCACTGAAAAAAACGAATGTTTCACTTTACCGTACCAGGGGAAAGAAATGACTTATTTTGTTTTCTGAGGAGGACGATTTTGTTTTTTCAATGATATTCGGGGATCAGTGACTGAAATGGGATTAAAAAGATACGACCCTAATGATTGGCGTTTGTTTATAGACTCGTCAAAACGCAGTCATGAATGTGTACTTTTACATAATGGCAATAAACTTGGCTCCTTGCCTACCGCTCATTCAACCAAAGATAAAGAAGAATATTCTACAATACCTCTGTTTTTAGACAAAATTAAATACACAGAGCACAACTGGCTCATATGCGTTGACTTGAAGATGGTTAATTTCTTTTTGGGCCAACAAACCGGGTATACGAATTATCCGTGTTTTATTTGCTTGTGAGACAGCAGAGCTAAAACTGAGCATTGGACCAGAAAAGATTGGCCGCTTAGACACGAATTAATATAAGGCAAGTTTAATGTAATAAACCCCCCCTCTAGTGTCTCGGGGACGTATAATATTACCTCCTTTACACATCAAATAAGAATTGATGAAACAGTACGTGAAGGCTCTAAACAAATAGAGGGAATGTTTTCAGTATATATCCAGATCTTTCCAAAATTCAGTGCTGAGAAGTTGACAGTTGGAATTTTCGATGGACCATAAATTAGAAAATTAATAAACGATGTAAATTTTACTGAAAGTATGACAACCACTGAAAAAATGCCTGGAATGAGTTTGTTTGGCTCGTAAAAAACTTTTTGGGAAATAAGAAGTCCGTCGTCTTTCCTGACCACGTCAAGCAGTTACTATACTTTCAGCAACCGGCATGCAACATGGGCATCAAGATGCATTTCTTTCATAGCCACCTTGATCGATTTCCTGAAAATCTTGTTTAAGCGAGAAGCAGGGAGAACGCTTCCATCAGGATATTCGCACCATGGAGGAGCGCTATCAGGGCTATTGGAGTGAAAGTATGATGTTTGACTACTGTTGGATCATCCAGAAACGTAGTAACACTCCAACTCTTTCAAGCAAGTTACATAAAAGAAAGTTTTGTTCTAATTAGATAACTAAATGAATTGTTATATTACAAAAAGCCATTTTTTAATGAAAATAGCTACCCTTTATATCTCAAAAAGTAGAGGTGTACAGATTTGGAATCAGGGTATAAAATGCAGCTAGATCCATGAAAAACATTCCATGCAATAAAAATGCTATTTTGCAATGTAATTTATACTTAGTAAAGATTTTTTTTATCGACCTTTTTTGGGTATTCTTTACCTTCCACAATCTGAAAAATATAAAAATCATAATGGAGAACTTTATACGAGTGTAGAAATGGCAAAATTCTTAGTTTACCTTACATTTCAAGACCATCTGAGAAAATGAGACGAATTGGAAATACGAATGATGTTAGAACTACTTTCAAAACGAAAATACACTGAGATCTATTCTCACACATAAAATCCAACAACATTGAAGAAAAAACAAAAAATTGTATTTATGAGATGTGGTAAGTTATATTGGTGAAACTTCGAGACCATTGAAAGTGCGTGAGAATGATCATCTGAATTGTCAGATCACATTTAAAATCAGACGGTGAACATCGAGTGGAATGGGACAAGATAAGAATGATTACCAATGAGCCTCACTCTAAGAGATGTAAGCTAAAAGAATCAGCCTATATTCTCATATCTGGAGAAAATTGTATTTCGGACAGCTCCTTAGATATAGACCGTACTTGGCTACCCATCTTGAAGAAAAATTTGGATAGTGGCGAAATGGCAACAGACTGATATCGGAGAGCACTTTGTATTACATCGAATGTTTCAGTTGTCAATCAACAACACTGACATAATTTCATATTTCAAAACTCCTTTGACATCTGTCGAAGAAGCTGAGAAATAAATAATCAAAAGGAATAACTGCAAATATCTTAGAATTTTTTTTTGTCCATTTCTGAAGACGGAGGCAGATTTTGACCTCCGAAACGTAAACATAAGTATTGTATTATTTCTTAGCAATTTTTTTTTATAGGCAACATTGTTAAATACGACAAGTTACTGATAAATAGAACATTTCTATTTGTGAAAAATACTTCCATTTTACACAATAACTTATCGGGGTAAACTAAAAGTTTGCCCTTTTTATAAAGTTCTCCATTATAATTTTTATATTTTTCAGAAAAAGATCGATGAAAAACTGATTTTCCTCCACAAAAATACTTTCGTTGAAATTGTATACATATTTTACATGTCAAAAACGTCACATTCTAAGTAAATGTCTTTCAATACTAGCAGTGATACCACGTTAGATTGTTAAAAATTGCATGACAGATATCTGCACAATGGCCCCACTTTCAAACTATCACTTGATATACATTCTTAACTACATGTTACTCTAGTCATTTGCAAAATAGTGGCTTTGCTGAAATTACTATCTGATGGATATAGGATCTTGAACTATAATATTTCAAGGTGTTTAGAATACCCTAGATACAAGAACTGAAAACTATCACTCGACTATTGAATTGCTTTGAATATAATTGTTTATTGAATCCACAAAGTAACAGAAACAAAAAATCAACGTCTAAATGCTGACAAGAGTTTGAATCAAAAGCAAAACTGATATCATATTATACATTTTTCAAATAATCATATAGTTTTTTAAACTATTTCTAATGCATATCTGTGCTCAAGAATACACAATGTAATACTCGATCAATGATAACACATCGCTAGTATTAAAAACAACTGGAAAGTTTTATACTCACTCTAAAAGATTTGTGATTAAATCCTTTACACGAATAGGATTATATGACAAAGGAATCTAACACTATTCCGGTCAACCAACATCTAATAGACACTAAAATAAACTATATAAAACTAGAAACACACATCAGATCAAACATAACCCTACTGCTGCAATGGAGAAAACACTAAAAAACAAAAACTCGGAATCGTCCAACACAATCGACGACCACTGAAACAGTAGAACGGCTTTCGCATTGAAATGAGTGTACTTGTTCGAAAATGAATCTTTTGTTAGAACTATCGTGTAGGCCAGAAGGGTGGTCCACCCCTAACGAGGGGTGTTTCACCCCCATGCAATTGCAAATGATATTAATGTCTCGTGCTCAAGCGATACAGCATTCGGAATATACGAGTATTCCCTTCGCGTATAGAATGGAAACCGTAAAACTCGGAACAATGAAAGAGTTTTTCATCCTTGGTTGTGAATAGGTTAATATTTTGTGGCAATAACACTGATCAAACGTTGAAAAAGATATACAGATTTACTTAAAGATCACATACATATTTACTCAGGTTACGATACGTTCAACGATTTTATTATTTTTTTATCTGATCAATACCGTAGATTGCTGAGAAGAGTAGTGTGATGACTGCTACCTGGAACCTTCCGAATTATTTTTTAGTTTTCAGTACATTATCTATTATCTTTTTTTTTCAATAAGACCGTTCAACATATCTTATTTTCGAGTTTTTAGTTTCTAATTTTTATCCTCCCTAATGCCACACAGTTCTCGAAACGTTTTAATCTTTTAGCTTAACTTGGGTGGTGTACAGCTAACGACTTATCATTTTTAGCCACCCTAACGCTACGGTCCTCGACACGATACAAAATTTCGACTTAGGTGGGAGACCCATGCTTGTATCCCGATTCTGAGTCGACAATGTTCTTTGTATAGATTATTTTGCATCTTTTTCATAGTGTACTACTATAGTACTAGTCAAGTTCTATCATTTGATACCCATTTGTAGTTGTGAAATAATATGTAATCCGCCATTCTGTAGCTGCGGCCATCTTGAATTTTCATATTTTCCAAAGTGTACTACTATTCTACTAGTCAAGCCCTGTCATTTGATACACATATTGAGGTAGTTGTAAAACAATAGATATGTAATCCGCCATTTTGTAGCTGCGGCCATCTTGGATTTACAATGATACAGAATTTAGTAAATTGTAATGTAATCAAAAATAAATGTGTGTACCAAATATCAGATCAATCTGTCAACAGGAAGGGGAGCAAACTTTAATTATCAAATTTAACCCAAACAAACAGGGCAAGCTGAATAAAACCGTTCAAAAAGTACGAACCTGAATACAGTTAAATAGTGAGAATGGCGGGCAGAAATAAAATAAAAATATTTAGGGTTATGTATAAAGTATACCTATTGAAGTTGCTCACTATATAACCTGAAGTAAATGGTCAATAATATTCTAAATGAATAGCTTCGAAAAAAACCTGGAAAACTGTCAAATGAGACAGATCTGTTCCAAACATTTTTCAAATATTTTTCTATATTTCGCGACGTGCTTTGAAAAAGATCGGCATGATTCACATTTTTCAAGGTAACTTCAAAATGTTTTAATTAAATCGCACATTTTGTAATCTGTTGAGAAAATTTTTAAGTTACAGTACTTAGTTATTAAAATTTGATTAATTTTGATAATGGTATGCATACCTATTTTAGTCTAATGGAAATATACATTAATAATTATTTTCATTCCATGTAGGCAATAGGGTGAAACTGGCAGTTTTGCATTCGTTGAAAGTATAATCAATATTTAAATTATCATACCTAAATGAAGTATCCCTACAATATAGCCTACAAACACACGAAGACATTGAACTCAAAATTTCTACTGTCAAGTTATTCAATTGTATAAGTACAAACAAATCAATGACATTCAACTATTTTTTGATTGTACAGTGTTTACTAGTTCAAATCAACTAGATACATGAGAATATAAATGTCTCGAAATATATATTTATTTGAAAAGACACTTGAGGAAGGAAAACTTTCATTAGCAAAACAGAGTTCCGAAATATCGTATTCAGAAATAAATTCACCACCTGTTTTGCTCTGTTTCCACTGAGTTGTTTATTTGTTGTTTCCCAGAACCCACAAATGTCAAATCATTTTTTTCAATACTTGGAAAAATCCTATACACTCTGTGCCTGTTCAGCTTTAGTATTTTTTACTGCAAATAAGAAACTCACCAAGGATAATTATTCCATCCTGCTATTGCATACAATAAGAGTAGATAACAAACAGAAACCCACTAAGAACACATTTTATGATTTCATGTATCCCAAACCCCACCATCTATAAAATTTATCGGATTATCCCAAATCCAAGCCCAGGGGTGAACGATCGATTCAATATCGCTGTAAACTATTTCACCAAAATGAAATTAGAAAGAGACAGAGAACTACGCATCTGTCTGCATGCTGTCTGGAAAAGTGATAGGTATTTAGATAAATTATGCCAGGTATGTAGATTTCCTTATATCAAATTACAGAATTGAAATGTAAACAAACCAGAGAACTCGAAACAGTTGAACTACTTGAATATTATCGAATGAAATAACCTACTATAAAGATGCTCACAAGAAATGAAATTCAGGTTATTTTTAGATGGTAGAGTTATTTTGGTACGAAGCATAACAAATATGTTTAAACCATTTTTTAGGGAAACGCAGGTCCAGCCCAAGAGTTGAAGAATTCGAATAAGATCCGATTTTTTATTGGTAAAATCTCAACGTAGGTGTAATGTAAAACATTGACATGGTAAGCAAACACATGTGCGTTTGTTTGGGATTTTAAATTCAATTCCAAATGTCAATTTTCGTGAGTTATTTATTCATTGAAATATTGCAAGTTTCTAGTTCAATTTATGGAGTAGGCCGGTACATAAATGCGTTGCATTTTAGGTTCGCTATATAAGTGGAACAGTGTTTTATTGAGAATACGCGGGCAGGAAATTTATTACCCCCATAACTTTGCAAACAGTTAAATGAACCAACAATTAGTGGACTGATAATAAGCCATGTATTGATTATTTTGTATACAATACTAATGGTAAGTGACGTTAAAACATAAAACTCACCTAAATCTGCCAAACTACACATTCGTCACGACACAATTGTTCCAAACTAAACTAATAAATTAAATGAATTTTACTAGAAAAGCCAAAACAAAATAACTAACGAAAAGAAAAAAAAAGTAAAAAAATTAAAACCGAAACCAACTTTATTCGCGTTCGGATTCGTACTGACGGAGAAACATGAAACATGACATACGCGCTCTCGGAACCGTAGAGGGTTTTCAGATGACACATGCGCAAGGGGGAAAGCCATAAGTTATTGGGATGATTTTTAATTAATCACAAAGGTAAAAAGTTTTGGAATTGAAAAGTAAATGTATCTATGCATATCACTTTTTTTTCATATAGTAAAAACAACGTCGGTTTTTCCGTAAAAGCGTTTTTACTCACGTTTTTACTCAAATGTTTTTCATTGGGTTGACTATTCTTCCTCAGTGATTACTTACATTAATAATTGACAACAAAAACCTGAGCATTTTTACTGATCACAGAAAAGTCATACTCCAATCATCGTATAATTTAGTATAAAATGAATGAACTATGTTCGACCATAACAACGACCATACAAATCTCAACATTGAAAAGTCTCAAAAAATCTGTAGATAAAAAAAGGTCAGTTACAAGATTTGTCGTAAAAAATTTCCAAAGTGTATAGTTCTTGTATATGAAAAAAAAATACACCAAAGAATTTGTTCGAATTTTTGAAAAACTAAACATAGACATGGTTTTCAAAAAAACCAAACCCTCCAAAAAGTGTTTGGCAATCCGAAAGACAGAGTGATGGAAAAAAGTCAGATTCATGAAATAAGCTGTGAGGATTGCGACAAAAAGTATGTTGGTCAAACTAAGCAAACTACACCAGATAAGTATAGACTTTTCTCAACATACCATGAAGAATGACCACAGAATAAGTGAAGAATGGTCTCTGACCAATTAGTATCCTACTTACTAGAATTATCATATCCCAAACCAAAAAACAAGACTCTCAACTCTAATTATACTTATCTGGACCTCAAACTTCACTTACTTAAGATACTCAAGAGATAATCATTCTACAGAATGGGTAAAATGTATTAATCAGCAACGGAGTTCATTTGATGTGTTTGCAGAATCATCTTTTAAATTTGAATGTATCATTGACTCTCTTCTGTGACTGGTAGTTTTTATAGGGCTATTGTTAAATATTATTGGTTCAACCATAAAATCAATGATAGTCTTCTGAACGTTCATTTTAATAATGCTTTTATTGAAAGGTTACTCAAAAAAAGATATACTTACCTAACCTAACAAACTAATAATTACGAGCCATTCAAAAAAGAACATTCATAAAATGACCGAAGTGGGGGTTGTAGAGAGTGGAACGGAACTTTTTCTTGTAAACAGATTTTCTATCCAATATCTATTTTTTAATAGTAAACGAGAGATTTTCGGATAGATGGTTTGGCACAATGGAAGCAAATGAATGGACTCCAAGATCGCTGGATTTAATTTCTCCAGATATCTTTGGAGGGATTTTTGACTCCGTTTATTATGAAATACAATCCTTTGATACTGATGATATTCAAAGGAGAATTATAGCAGCGTGCCATTCAACTCAAGGTGAAGTTTATTTCCAGAATTCTTAAGGAGAAGTTTAAAAACAGATTTCATTATTGTTGAGAATGAAAAACATTTTGTACAGATTTCGAAGTGATGAGAAAGCAGATCTCTTGTTCTAAATTGGGTGTGTGAGAAATTGAAAGTTAGTTTTGCATACGTACAATAACCAACAAAGAAAAAATTAAACACCACAAAAAGGGTTAGAAACGATTACACTCATTGAAAATAGAATAAGAAGTCCTTCAAAGTGGTGTGCCATTTGACCCCCTTCCATACATTATTTCTTGATGGATCAGTATTTGCAGTAATTCTTTAAAATTTCTTATTTCTCACAAACTTCACAAAAATCAAGGAATCCCACGTAAATTGGCATCTCTGTGGACCACAGAGAGAGAGAGGAACGGTCGTTCCTTTGCTGTTTGATCAAAGCCGGCAACAGCTTTTTCTATTCCTACAGATATTGCCATCTGACCAGTGATACCAACAAGGTGCAGAAGCTGTGTGTTTTCAGTATCTTATCGCATTTTTATGCTCTTTGGTAATTAAAAAGAAAATTTTATTTGAGTTAAGATGATAATGAACTCAAATTTAGTTTTCGTCATCGAAAATATTGCTAACGTTACTGCAGTTTCGTCCTACAAGGACATTTTCAAACGATTACAATGAACTCTTTTTTACTTTTTTAGTTACAAATAGTAATGTTAGTTACAAATACAAGTGGCAAAAAACAAAGAAAGTATCATTTCTCATTTTTTATGAAGATCCCCTGCCACGTGGTAACTGCTACATCCATCAATCTAATAATTAGCAACATAACCGATTGATTTTACGAACTGCAAATAATGATGAAAATAACTGGATAACTTACCACTGTTTTGAAACACTTTTTCATAAAGATAAAAAAACTATAGAAAAATTACGCGCAAAAGCCGGTTGCACAAAAGCCGGTCACGCACAAGCTGGTCCCGTAGTAACCAATCCGAACAAACAACACGACGGAACTAATATTGTGGCATGGCATGGCTCTTTTGCATGATATATATAAGGATCATTTAGGCAACTCGCGGTGTTGCCATTCCACGCGCACTGTTGTCTGAGTACGACAAATTCAGAATATCTCCCATATTTTTTGGCATTGAACGAATCAAATATCATATTTTCAATCGTTTTGTCACGTGAATGATAATGACTACTTGTTATTGAAGAATTACAGTTGCTTGAATCCAATCAATAAATATATTAGTTTCAAGTGCATTGAAATTTCAGAGACAGAAAACGTAACAAAGTCTCACCTCTCATTAGTGAAAAATACGTTGCAAATTATTATTCCTTGCAAATTGCAAGATTCTGTCTGAAAGGCGGATGGATGTATATTGGCCCGAGCGGTTAGCTGTAATGTCTCATACTCGGGTTTTGAACCCTTTCCCCATATACGCCACTGATTCATCAAAGTTTTTTTAAAATTTAATAGTAGCATTCAATATAGAGTTTGGCGTAGTTTATGGAAATGGTTTTGGTTTTTTAAGAAAACATCACAGTTTTTTCAAAAACATTCCCCTTCCAAAAATCTAATTTGCTCGTAATAGGTATGGGGTACCTATCAATTCTTAATTTGGGGTATCCCATATTAGGGAACTGTATACTTTTCCGTGTTAAACCAAAGTATTTTCATTCAGATGCCAAAAAATGAAAAGTTTGGAACAAGGAACAGATGATTTCAGCAATTTTAGCTGTTCGGCAAGGAGAAATGGGCTACATGAAGAGTGCGCAGACCCAAGGTATGCTTCAAACGGCTTCAGAAAGGGACCTAAAGATAGAGGGAGCACCTGAAGACATTGTGAGTTCTTCGTTTCATGACGAAAAATAGTCTTTCTACAAGAAATGGAGTCAATGCTCGCAAATCACTGCTTAGAAATGGAAATAATTTTTTTTTTGTAATTAATCGAAAAGACGTGTGCCGATTGGCATACAGCTTATGCAAGTGAAGCAAAAGAAAGTGCTGGGAAGATATGGCTTTCTGGATGTATTGCAAGGCATAAGAAATCGTCATTGAGGACGCCCCAAGGAATATCATATGCGCGCATTGAATCATATACCAGAGAAAATGTTGCAGCATGGTTTGATTTGTATGATCCACTTCTCGAAAAAATAAATCAAAATCCAGACAGGATCTTTAACTGTGATGGAACTGGCCTAACCATTGCCCAACCCAAGCATATTAAAGTTGTGGGAAGAAAAGGAAAAAAATTGGTGCAATCATTTCAACCGAGCGTGGATCTTTGTTGAACACAATCATGTGTTTCAGTACAACATGCCAATATATACCGCCCCTTTAAATTTTCCAACGTAAAAATATGAAAATGGAGCTTATGAATGGCACCCCACCCAGGTCACAATATGCGTGTCACTAATCTGGTTGGATTCAACAAGATATATTTGTAGAATGGCTTCGCCATTTTATTGATATAACTAAGCCCAGCGTTGACGATCCAGTGGTATTAATCCTCGATGGTCATTACTGTCACACGAAAAATTTGGAAGTCATAACTGTGGCGCGAGAAAACCATGTTAACATAATATGCCTTCCACCCCAATCGACACATCGGATGCAACATTTGGACGTAGCTTTTATGCCACCAGTGAATACCTTTTACGCACAAGAAATAACAAACTGGCTTAGGCTTAACCCAGGACGTGTTGTATCAGGCCATCAAGATTTCAAGATTTTTCAAGATTCAAGATTTATTTGTAGGTCATCATTTTTACAGTTTTTGCAGTTATATTCACAGTTAATATTTCCCTCAGTGTGAGGATGGATGCACCTAAGTAACTAAAGTACTTGTGTTGTGCTTTCCATCTACCACTCAGGGTATTCAATTATATACAATTGACTGTCTTATACCTATATCTATATACACACGCTTCAATATAGTTAATTGATTTACAGAATTGAATCTATAACATAATTCTATATCCGAATTACTTATCTCAATTGCCATTTTCGTATTGAAAAGTTTGATTATGCCTTCTCTCAAATTTTCTCCATCAGGTGGGAGAACTTTTTCGGAAAGCCTATATAAGAGCGGCAACCATTAATACAGCTATAAACGGGTTTAGAAAAACTGGAATGTTTCCTTCTGATAGAAACGCATTCAAAGAATATGATTTTGTGGCAGAAATGCAAGAAGCAATTAACGAAGAAAGAGTAGAAACAAAAACAGTGGATGGAAAAAGTAGAGGAAGAACAATTAGATAACAATGATCCACCTGTCTCTCAGAAAACCGCTGAGAGACAGGTTACCCCTGAGAAACAGATTATCCCTGCAAACTTGATGCCTGTTCCAACTGCTTCAAAAGTTATTAATAAAAAAAAGAGTTCGAAATGTGGAAAAGCTGCCGTTGTACCTAGCACTCCATACAAAGAGGAATTAGAGGTCAGCATAGAAAAAAGAAATTTACCTTCAAATTCGGGCGTCAAAAGAAAGAATAATGATTCGAAGCCAAGTCAGCAGAAAAACAATTAAACCTACCCATAACGAAAAAAAATAGTCAGTTGTTAAAGAAAAATCAAACAAACGCAAGTTGGTA